ATCGACCTCGCCGGCACGATGTGGCACAGCGTCCACCACAGCGCCACCATGTGCCCGTGGGTGGTGCTCTTCTACAACGACGGGTGTGGGCACTGCAGATCCACGGCACGCAAAAAGAACAGCTTTGCCACACGAATGGAGGACTGCTATGAGGAGGAAGACCCGTTGCGAATGGCCACTGTGGCCGCTATAAACTGTGCTGTTGAAATAAGTACATGTCGTGATAATAGAATCCTTACAGTGCCTAAACTTGTTCTGTTTGTTCCACCTAACTGTAGTAATAAGGCTGGTGTGGTTTGTGATGCTGATATGATGCAGTTTATTCCTTTGGATCATAGTAATGATGGTTTTTCAAGACTTCGTCAAGAGACTCGTCGCTTGATTAAACAAACTATGCATTTTGATGGTGCTTCTATTGAGCGGTGTGTTCAAATGCGTCATGCACTTTATGATGCGAAAAGTGATTGGATTAAACGTGGTTCTTCCTCTTTATCTCAGTTTGTTGAAACAACTAAGTTATATCCTACAGATATTGCGGGTGCTTTTTTTTCTACGTTATTAAATGAAGTACCTCTTGTGGGTCTTAACCCACCGGATCGGCTACAAGCACTCAAAGATTTTCTTCGTCTTGTTGAACATGCACTCCCTGGTCTTGAGGCTGCTTCTGTACTTGATGTTGTGCGAAATTTTGAGAGTGGTGAAGAGTTTTCTGTTCCACGTTGGCAGAGTGCTGTGATTGCTGCACATATTCCTTTTGAGGGGAAACCCCGTGCGGTGCAGTGGCGCACGTGTAGCGGTTCATCTTCAGAGTATCGTGGATTTCCTTGCGCCATGTGGCTTCTTTACCATTCCCTTACAGCTAACGCTGACAAGGAGGCTAATCCACTTGAGATAATACAAAATTATGTGCGTTATTTCTTTTCATGTGAGCATTGTCGAGAACATTTTTTACAATTTGATTTCAAACTTGATGATGATCCTCTCTTACAATTATGGCGTGCCCACAATAATGTAAACGCTCGGTTGGCAATAGAAAATACCAGCAATGACCCATTAGTTCCAAAACAGCAATTTCCTACTCGAACAATGTGCCCTGAGTGCTACAATTCTTTGGGTACCTTTGATGAACAAGCGGTGGTCAAGTTTCTTCAGAGAAGATATGAATGGGATCCTGATGCCGTCTCCTGGAAAATTGGTGATGGTGGTGGTGGTGGTGGAGTTGATGCTGGCGAGTCGCCTAATATTATATCTAAGGGAACATTAGTTCCCCCAACTGATGTTCATAAGGAAAATGAGGAAGTTGTGCGTCGTGATCCGATTCCAATTCATGTTTTTCTGACTGGTTTTGTGATTGTCACGGCCGTGGGTGCTGGAATTCTCCGTATTCGCGGAAAGTATATATCATCTCACACTAGCCATCGGCATCGTATGAGAGTGTGAAAGAAAAGTAAAATGGACTCTTTTGTTTGTGAAAAGCTCTTTTTTTTTCTTTAACTCTTACTCTCCTACTCTCCCTTTGACTTTGGCTTCTCAAGTTGGACTAGAGTAGCTAGTGAGGAATGCGAGTATGTTTTTTTTTTTTTCTTTGAGTTAGTAGATATCTCTTTTTTTCTCTTTTAATATGAATCTTTTTTTTTTTGTTTTTTGACAGTTGTTATAAGCATATGTGTGTATATCTCTCTTTCTCTCTCTATGTAAGTAAGGGAGTCGTCTCTCTTTCTCTCCCTCTATCTGTGCATTTTGGTGGGGTTCTTCTCTATGTTTTTTTTTCCCCAGGAGATCATCTTTGTTTTTTTTTTTTTATTTTATTTTTTATTTCTCTTAATGGAGACCTTGCATATGTTTAACAATACGTTTAAAAGGGAGGAACCAAATACAGGAGATTTTATCTAAAGCTCTCTCGAGTACCAAGTGTTTTTTTATTTTTTATTTGGGTTTTGTCTTTGATAGAAGAATGAGTCGATTTAAGAATTGTATAACAATCATCAATACACGTAGTGGAGCACGTGAGGGTCCTTCGGTGTTTGCAAGTGCACTTCAACAGTATCTTGACAAGGCTGGTATCATACATCACGATACGTGCGTGCCAGAGAAGAATATCATACATGCCCTTAATGTTCACCCCAACACGACTGATGCTGTAATTGTCTGCGGTGGTGATGGCACTTTGAGTTCTGTGATGAATGTATTAGCCGCTACACCGAGTCATCCGCTTCTTACTGTACCCATCGTACCAGTGCCGTGTGGATTACAAAACTCTATTGCCACTTCTCTCGGTGTTTACTCCGCTGAACGTTCAGTCTCGGCTTTTGTGATGGGCCGTGTGGAGCCCATTCCTCTATGGAAGGTTTTTGTTAACGATAAGGTGGTGCGGTATATTGCATCCTACATTGCTGTTGGTGCCTATGCAAAGAGTGTGCAACGTCTGCATCATTTGGATGCTGTTGGTGATAATTATATGGCTCTTCCAATGGTACGAGGGAAGTACAAATTGGGTTCTTTTTACACAGCCATGCGAAATGAATTGGTTTCAGGCGATTTCAAAATAAAAAAGATGAAAGGCTCTTCTTTAGTAGTTCAGTCTCCCATAAAACTATTAATAGCATCTCAGATGCCACTACAGCATCGTTATTATACACTTACACCAACGGCAACTTATAAACATTCAACATTAAGTGTCACCTACGCAACGGCTGAGGCAACACGGTTACGTCTTTGGCATTTGTTAAGCCGCGAGGCTGTAGAAGGTGTAATCCTTAAAGAAGATGGTGTATGTGAGTGTTCTGGTGTTTCAGAATTGGAGTTTACCATTTCTAAGGCATCAGATGATAGTGAGAATTCCTTAGATGTTGTCATGCAGCTTGACGGGGAGCCGGTACATCTTTCACCCGGCTCTAAAGTCTCTGTCCAGCGGGCATCATGTCATGTACTATTCACAACTTGTTAGATAAACTACAAAAAGAGAAATAGAGAAAGAATGGAATCAAAAGAAAAAGAAATGATTAGATTTGTTAGTGTGATATTGTATAGGTGTGTTTGTGTGTGATATAAGGTGATGTACTTGCGCACACCTCCCCTACTCTTCATATGGAAGGCTGTGAAAAATTTCTTAATAACATAACAATAAATCATTTTTCTTCTCTCCCTCTCTCTTTCTCTCTGTGTGTGTGTCAATGTATACTTTATTTCAATAGTAATAGTAGTAGGAAGAGATCACAGTGGCTTTAAGAGAGTACTGTTTGAGTGAAAGAGGAGAGGGGACAGAAAAAAAAACAAGAAAAAATAAAATAAAGTAGGAATAAAAGAAAGAAAAAAAATGGAACAAGGGGATGGTACTCGAGTTAGTAACCATCAACCACCACCACCTCGTTTCCGTCAACGAGGTCAGGAATATGATGAATATGTACCACGAAAAAAAATTCATGGTCAACGCCCTGTTGATTTCTATTCTTCTGCTATTCGACATGTGACGACGCGTCTCTTACATCATAACACCCCGTATGGGTATCATGTAGATCCACATCCCTATTATTCGAAAGATATGTTACCTGCTGCACAGACCCCATTTAACCCAAGTACAGCTTTATGTACACAATGGGTTAACACATCATTTCACCCTGATACACGTGGAGGACACACCCGTGTACCACTTATGAATTTAAAATGGGCACCAAATGGACGTCGTCTTTTGTGTTCTACTGGTCGTGGTGAATTTCTTCTTTTCAATGGACATACATTTGGTGTGGAAGTTAAAACGGTGGCACATGAAGATCATCGTCCTTGTCGAGCCATAACATGGGGGACTAGGAGTGATTTGATCATCAGTGGTGATGATGCAGGTATGGTAAAACTATGGTTATCTAACTTTGTGCTTGTCGCTGAGTTTAACTCCCATCATCGTGCCGTCCGTGAGGTGACGTGGGCCCCGTTAGAAGGCAAGTTCTGCAGCTGCGGCCAGGACGGCTCTGCACGGGTGTGGGACACCAACGCCGTTGGCTCCAATCCCCAGCAGGCGCGGGAAGAAGTGAAGTTGGAGGGCCACGGCGGGGATGTGGTGACGGTGGATTGGCACCCGTTCCACTCCCTCATCCTCACAGGGAGTCAAGACCGGGATTGTCGGCTCTGGGACCCGCGCACCGCCGCACGCGGGAGTATTGCCGCCTTGCAGGGACACTCACAGTCTGTCAATTGTGTGCGCTGGAACCCGAATGGAACGACACTTATTTCCGCATCAAAAGATTGTACGGTGAAACTTTGGGATATTCGAATGGTGCGTGAAATGGTCTCGTATGAGGCGCACTCAAAGTCAGTGGAACGCGTGGAGTGGCATCCACATGTGCCGGATTTATTTGTTAGTGCCGGGGCGGATGGAAGTCTTATGTACTGGATATTAGATGCATGTGAGGGAACTCCGCGGCAGGATGGAGTGAATGTTGTTATTCACGAAGCTGCAGTTGTGGAAAATGCACATGATCGTTTTAGAGATGTTGCCAATCCAATAAATGCCATTGCGTGGAGTCCCTTGGGAAATCTTCTCGCCTCCTGTTCAGCAGAGGTGAAGTATTGGCATCGCAACAAACCTGGTGCATTAGAGGAGAAGGAACGTGGTGAAGAAGATGACGTCTTTGACGTGGATGAACAACTGTAAACAACAACAACAACAACAACAACAACAACAAGAAAAAAAAAAAATGGTGTGGTTTTGGACTCGTACAAACACATGTCTACTCACATATTGTCATTTGGAGTGGTGAATGAATAAGTGGCAACGCTTAACGGTTTTTCGTTTTTTTTTTTCTTTTTTTTTCGTTTCCTTGTTGGTATTTCTGTCTCTACGCGCGTGACGTGTATGTATGTATGACTTGCGCATCTTTCTTGATAAGAAGAGAAAACCTTCTTTTTTTTTCTTATTCTTATTCAGGATTATTATTATTATTATTTTTTTCTTCTTCTTCTGACTTAGATAATGAATGAGAGATGGCGTGTATGGACAATGACAGCGGCTTTTTACGACAGCCAAGATCCTCTGAGTTTTGTGTTTGCCCTTTCAAGTTTGTTGCCCATTGTTATAGTGATATTTGTAGCTGGACTCGCTAGTGCTACATTATCACCACAGCAAACACCCGCTCTTATTCTTTTATTAGGTTTTATACACAACACAGTACTTAATGCCGTTTTAAAAGCTTTCATTCAAAGTCCTAGACCAAATAGTCGATTACATGATACTTCTTATAAAATGGCACCAAGCTTACATGGTATGCCAAGTGATCATGCACAGTTTATGTTTTTCTTTACAACATGGTTGGTTCGTAAGGCTGGCATATACGGTATTCCTATTCCATTAGGGATGTGGGCGTTTTTGCTATTATCATCTATATTCGTATCATATGGTCGTATATACAATGAGTTTCATACCACTATACAGGTGTTAGTGGGTGTAGTATTAGGTATTTTAAATGCTTATTTATGTACTACACCAATTGGGGATTCCCTGCTAAGGCAGGTGGCGATAGCTGTTGCACCAATAAGGGAGTTCTGTATAGGTTGGACACAATACATCCGTTAAGTTTTTATTTATTTATCTATTCATTCTCCGCGTAAGTGATTTTATTTCTCTCTACTACGGTTGTTTTTGTGCTTTCTGTTGTTTATTTCAGAATGTTCTATTACTCCCTAAGATGCGCGTTATTTCACATTACATATTGAGTATGTACCCGTTTCCTTCTTAAAGAAGTTTTTTTTTGTTGTTTTTAATGCACTATTATGCTTGTTTTTTTTTTTTTTATTTTTTCTGCTCTTATTTCCGTTTTTTTTTTTTTTTTTTTTTTTTTTCACTTTCTTTCTCCTTCTCTCTCTCTCTCTCTCTCTTATAGGGAAGATAGATAGGGCACTATAGTTTTTACTATAGAGGTACTAGACCTCACGGCGTTTAGTTTTTTTTTCTTCTTTTCTGCCGCCCTCACCGTCAGTTGTTTTCTCTTCCAAGATCATTATCATATCTTTACTTTAGATAAATATCTGCTTATATATATATATATATATATATATATTCTCCTTTTGTCTCTGTGGGTGTTGAATTGATGGCTTTCTCTGCCATGGATGCTGTGCGGTATCTTGCCTCTGGCAAAGGTGTATTTGATTCCATCTGCGATCTCATCATTCGCCCGCCGCGGGCGCAGTACGACCCGTTCGTGGATCTCGGCCCGGATGTATTCCGCATTGGCGACGACGACCCCACCCGCTACAACCGCACAGATCTCACTCTCTACAACATGCGGGGAATGGCCGTGCAGTGCTCGTGGTTCCGCCCACTCGACGGGGACCGCCGGCCGTGCGTGGTGTATTTGCACGGCAACTGCGGCTCCCGCTACGATGCGATGGAGGCGTTGTTTCTACTGCGGCACGGCTTCACCCTCTTCACCTTCGACGCCTCCGGCAGCGGCATGTCGGACGGGGAGTTCATTTCGCTCGGCTTCTACGAGCGGCAGGACCTCGCGGCCGTCGTGGAGTATCTCGCCGCGCAGCCGGATGTGGACGGCATTGGGCTCTGGGGCCGCAGCATGGGCGCCGTCACTTCCATCATGTACGCCGCAAAGGACCGGTCTATTAAGTGCATCGTCTGTGATTCTCCCTTCTCGGCCCTTCGCCTGCTTATTAAGGACTTGGTGAAGCAACATGGATCCAAGAGGATTCCATCAGCTCTCGTAGATAGTATTGTAGATCGCATTCGAAAAAGAATTGCGAAACGGGCGGCATTCGATATTGATGACTTGGATGCCTTGAAATACGCGTCTGAATGTGTTGTACCGGCATTTATATTTCACGGAGAGGATGATGACTTTGTGTTGCCAATGCACTCTATGGCGGTAAATGATGCTTTTAAAGGACCATGTTTACATCATTTAGTGGAAGGCGGTCATAATGATGAACGTGATCAGTCAGTGCAGAATACCATTGTGAATTTCCTTACCTTGTACTTAATCCTCAAGCCAGAGGGAGAGAGAGATCGAAAAAATGATCCCAAACCTATTATAGTGAAGGGACGTATAGATACATCCATGCCAATATCTGTCTCTGGCGAAACACCAACAGGAACACCATTAGGAACAGCAGGAGTGGAATCTTCTTCTACGGAGGGAGGGGAATGGGATAACACCGCCTCCCCTTCAAAGAATTACGCCCCATTAGTACCAATTAGTTTCACTAAACCTCGTTTACGTGATGCCACTATATCATCATCATCATCATCGCCGCGGCCATCAGTAACATCGTTATCATCAAAGGAGAGTCATAGGGATGCAGATAAGGAGAAGAAAAAATCCTCTACCTAAAAGCTGCGATCCACGTTTATTTTTCTCATTCTCTCAGAAAACAAAAGAGGAAAAAAAAAAAAGACACATATACACATATATATATGTATTGCTGCTTGACTCTCTTGACCTTTTTTTTTTCTACTCAGTTTTCTGCGGTTATAAGTGATTGCTATTTGATGATCACATTCTCATTGATCAGCTTTTTTGTTTTACCAATTATTTCTCTTACTTGACCCAAGTCCCTGTTCTTGTGCCTGATATATACTTTCTGTATTTAGTCAAGTGTTTACACTGACAACCTTTTAAATGTATTGTCAATTAGAAGAAAGGTGGGCATTGAATCTTTGAGTGATATTTTGGTCAAATGTTTTTTTTTTTTTTTTTTTTTTTAGCATAATCTTTTCTCGTTAGTCTTATGGATCAGTATTTTTTTTGTTACTTGTCAGCTTGTAGAACATAAAATCACTGACTACAGAAACTACGGAACAAAAAAAAAAATGGAGTGGAATGTGTGTGTATGTGTGTGAGTAGATAAGCAAAAAGGTGGATTTGCTGTTTGTTGATATCAGCAGGTAATAAGAACTATTCTCTGAAAAGGAATGCAAAGCACATATTATATTCTCAGCTTCATTACTCTTTCTTTTTTTCCCCCTTTTCCTTCTCTTTGACATTTTGTGCTTTCACTGCTTTCAGAGCTTTGCTATTATTTTGTTTCTTATATTGTAGAAAAAGAGAATATCTCTGAACTGAATTCTTGCCTATGAGAAGAAAAGAAAATCTTTTTCTTTTGCTATCACTATTGTTGTTCTTCCCTTCTGTTATTGCTTTGTGATTTTCAAATGGACGTGATATTCCAATGCACATGGGATCTCTCAGTTCTACGGAAGGAACAACTGATATATCTTCCATGGGTGTTTTTTTTTTTTTTTTTTTTTTTTTTTTTTTTTTTTTTTTTTTTTTTTTTTT